ACTGGTCTATCTGTCTGTTTCTGTACCAATACCATGCTGTCTTGATGACTGTAGCTCTATAGTATTGTCTGAAGTCTGGGAGAGTTATTCCTCCAGCCTCTTTCTTTCTCTTCAGTAATGCTTTGGCAATTCTAGGTCTTTGATGGTTCCATATAAATTTTATTATGATTTGTTCTAGTTCTGTGAAATGTGTCCTGGGTAATTTGATAGGGATTGCATTAAATCTGTAGATTGCCTTGGGCAGTGTGACCATTTTAACAATATTGATTCTTCCAATCCAAGAGCATGGGATATCTTTCCATTTTTTAAAGTCTTCTTTAATTTCCTTCATCAACGGTTTATAGTTTTCTGTGTATAATTCTTTTGCCCCCTTGGTTAGATTTATTCCTAGGTATTTTATTACTTTGGGTGCTATTTTAAACGGGATTGTTTCTTTATTTTCTTTTTCTGTTGATTCATCATTAGTGTAAAGAAAGGCAACTGATTTTTGAACATTAATCTTGTAACCTGCTACCTTGCTGAATTCTTCCATCAGCTCTAGTAGTTATTGTGTGGACCTTTTAGGGTTTTCTATATATAGTAACATGTCGTCAGCATATAGTGACACTTTTACTTCTTCTTTTCCAATTTGGATCCCTTTTATTTCTGTCTCTTGCCTGACTGCTTGGCTAGGACTTCCAAGACTATGTTGAATAGGAGTGGTGATAGTGGGCATCCTTCTCTTGTTCCAGATTCTAGTGGGAAGCTTTTGAGTTTTTCACTGTTGAGTACTATGCTGGCTGTAGGTTTGTCATATATAGCTTTTATTATGCTGAGATACGTTCCCTCTATACCCACTTTGGTGAGAGTTTTTATCATAAATGGGTGTTGAATTTTATCAAATGCTTTTTCTACATCTATTGAGATGATCACGTGGTTTTTGTCCTTTCTCTTGTTGATGTGATGTATTACATTGATTGATTTGCATAACTTGGTCATGATATATAATCTTTTTTATGTGCTGTTGGATTCTATTTGCTAATATTTTGGTGAGGATTTTGGCATCTGTGTTCATCAGTGATATTGGCCTATAATTCTCTTTTTTGGTAATATCTTTGCCTGGTTTTTGTATCAAAGTGATTGTGGCTTCATAGAATGAGTTTGGGAGTATTCCCTCCTTTTCAATCTTCTGGAAGAGTTTGAGAAGGACTGGTATGAGTTCTTCTTTGTATGTTTCCCCAGTGAAGCCATCCGGTCCTGGGCTTTTATTTGTAAGGAGGATTTTTATTAAGATATAAAATGCTCCAATAATTTTATGATTAGTGTATTATACATGGTATAATGTATATTATGCTGTAATACAGATAATCTGATTATATGATTATTAAAATTAAAAACAAATTTTAGTAATACTCTGTTCATATATGCCATGGTATAAATATAAATGTAAGCATACGTGCACAAATGGAATTATCTAATAACCTTCAGCGTACTTGGGCCACAATTCTCATGGTAAGAACTGTCACAAGGAGAGGTAGTAAAATACCATAGAAAGACCACGTGTCTCAGAATAAAAAACAGTTTAAATCCACTCCATGTGGGGTGTGGGAACCTGGGCAGGCCAGTTCACCTCCCTGAATCTCTGTTTCCTTGCTCTAGTTTAGAGAGGCGGGGGAGGGGAACTTACAGACTCAGACTGAAATAACGTAAGTGCACAACGCAACTGCTGGCACATAAGGAATCAATAGACATCATTATTCATGTTCTTGTTAAAGTTCATTATTATTAAAGGCTAACTATCGTTGTTTTCGGTGGAAGTCAGAAACGCATTCAAGAAGCACCCATTTACCTACGGGGCTTTCTTGGCACAGGGCTGGCTACCACGGTGTCTGTTTCGCTTGGGCCTCAATCGGAGAGCGGGGCCAGTTGTCCTCACTTTCCAGCAGTTGGTGAATATTCAAACTGATATCCCTTGTGGGGTCAGATCTTGGGGACAAATATTTCTTCTATGTCAAGGTTTCTTAAATTTCACATGTGATTTAGAAAGCAAATAAGCCCCTTAATTGCTTCGTTAAGCTAGTCAACACTAATTAAAAAAAGTCAGGAGGAAAAATATTAGAAACTGCTGTGCTTGGTTTTTCAGCCTTCTCCCTTTCCTCCAGAACATGTCTTGCTCTGCTGAGGAAAGGGAGGTGGTGATTTTCCAGTGATAGGACCCATTGTGACCTCCCCAGTTCTGAGTTTGAAATTGAGCTTTGCTCTTTTGGGGTTCCACTCAGTTTATTACTGGTGAAACATGATTTCCCAACCCTATGGAAAAAAATACCTAAAATGTCTTAAAAGGAGTGCAGGGGATAACCCGAACTATTTTGATGAGTTAGAATTCAACCAGCTGGTAACGTCAGTTTCTTCTCCCGTGGCACAGCCCAAGAGCGTGAGAACAGTGTCACAGGGATCACAGACGGAGCCAGGCTTAGATGGGGGAGAGGCTTCGCGTGTAAATATGCGTGTGTGCGTGTGCGTGTCCGTCCGCATGCATCTGCGCACTTGAAAGCACCAGGCGCCTTTGTGGCACGTATATGGTGGGGGATGTGTGATGAGGGGGTGCTACTTGTCTGCAAGACGATTGCAACCTGAATTCAGCCTTTTGCTCTGGTCCAAATGTTGGGACAGTTACTCCTCTTAGCTCTGCTGAAGCTTGTGAGAAAAGTAGGTTTTTTTGTAGTTCTTCCTAGAACTAACTAGGCCATCTCCCTGGTTCTATCAGCTCCCTCGGAATCTCTCAGATCCAGAAAGAATGATAAAGAAAATCTAGTAACCTGCCCCTCACGCTCCTTTACAGTAGTAAATAGCTTCTATATATTGAACACTTACTGGGTACCAAATTCTATTTAGATATTTTATAACTATGGCCATAATTCTCAGTAACTCCTTGAGGTGCATTTTTTAATTCCCATTTAATTGATGAAGCTATCAGGGCTAAGAGAAATACAGAAAAAGGCTCATGGCCTCTGAGTTGGCAGGTGGTTGAGCAGGAATTAGAACCCAGAGCTGCCTACTGCAAAATCACTGTGATTTCCTCCTTACCCATCATTCAAAAGGCTCTTTATTGTGATCCTCTGAGTTAAACTAGCAATTCTTCTTGGTCCCAAACGAGAAGAATCTGAGTCCCTCCTTGTTTTGAAAATGCTACTTAGAATAGTGCCTCTGCCAAGCCTCCCTAGTGTGTGAACATCCCCTGTAGCTCCAAAGCTGGCTTTCCCCAAAGCCTTCAGGACCTCAGTGCTCGTGGTACCCTTCAGAGGAATTTGGGCTGCTTATGGGAATCTGCTAGAAGAACAGAAAATGTGAAGGACTCAGAGAGTAGAATCAGAAAGAATTTTGCCCACGTTCTCACTTGTACAAGGAAGACCAGGCCTGAATTATTTAGGGTTGCTGGTGATTTCCCATGGGAGGCGTCAGCCCTCATGGATAGCCTCTCTCATTGGACTGTGAGTGAGTGGGAAGGCTAAAAACCTCACCTTGATCATAACAAACTCAACAGAAATCCAAAACTTTAAGGCTCAATCAGCTATTTTTCAGGCATTGAAAGCATTCTGGGACACTGTCACATGGGCCCACTGCAGAAACAAAAGCTGGATGTGTCTTGAGGGAAGATGTAATGTAGAAGCCCTCAAAGGGGGTGGTCAGGGGTCCAGTTCATATGTTGCAAAGGGTTCCATTTACTCAGTAATGACTAGTTCTATGCTATCAAGAGGCTCCATTTTGCTTGGCGAGGCCTGGCAACTGGCCTCCGCCTGTGACAGGCACACTTCTGGGGGTTGAAAGGCCTGCCGCCCAGTAGACTCCTAGATACTCAAGATCTATTCCAGTTTCCTTGAGGCCCAGGACTTGTGAGAAAGGACAAATTCTAGGTTCCATACATAGTGGGTCTGAGCCAGCTGACAGTTCCCTTGCCTTGGACTGGGAAAGACAAAGTCTGCAGGTGCTTGGGGTGGGGGTGGGTGGCAGGCCAGGGCAGGACCCGTAGCTCTGATGATGCTTCAGACATGTGTACATTCTCTTTAGAAGACCAGTTACCTCTGGCCATGGACTGTATGTAGATAAACCAAGGCACAGAGTGTGCACAGTTAAAAAGACTACATTTATGCAATTACTGACATCATTAAAACAGCATATAAAGGAACAAACCACCCTTCCATATCTCCTTTCATTTCTCGGTGTTCTGAAGATTGACAGCAACTGACTATAAGCCTAAAATATTTTATCAAGTAGTTATTAAATAATAACCATAAAGGATATGAGCTAGCATCACAAGATTCTTTCTCAAGAAGATCTTTAATGAGAGTGAAATGAGGTCCAAAGAATAACAAAGTTATTTCTGATGTTTCTGTGGGGCTCCTCTTGCTTCTACTGTTTGCAAATCAAGGGCCAAGAATCAAGTTTAAGCAGGAAGAATGTGTGATGAACTTGGTGGGGGGAATAGGGGCACATGACATGAGTGGATCTAAGAAAATGGGTGTGAGAGGCTGTCTAACAGCCTTAGTCATCACCCAGAGCTGACTGCTACCAGAGCATCTGTCAGCCAGGCAAAGAATCCAGGCCCTGGTAAACATGGCCCAGGATATCAACACCCCAGATCAATGTGCTGAATTCTTCACAGAGCTGTGATTCTCTGGGGGGCCTTGAGGTTCATGACTAAGAAATAGGTTTAAGGGTAGATCTCAGCCCTCTGGGGAAGGCGAAGGGTAGATCTCCACCATCTGGGCAGCAAAGGGGAGAGTTATCACAGGGTTACCTGTGGAGCTCCAACCTTCAGACCTCATTGTGGCCAAAGTGATTAGAATCCACTGGGAGTGCCTGGCATCAGACGTAGTCAGGGGGCCCCAACAAGGGCGCATGATATTCTAAGCTCCACTGGCCAGAAGACAGAGGTGGTTAAAGACTCCTGATAGCCTTTATCATGAGCAGGACTGGCTTGAGTCCTAGGTACTCTTAAGCCCCCTCAAGGGTCAGAGGAATGAACCCTAATTTTCTGTAGAGGAAGCCAACCAAAGGGTGAAAGATTTTCTGTACCAGCACCATGGAAAGCCATCAATCCCAGGTCCTTTCGGTGGAGGCTCTCACAAAAGGAGAATGACCCCCACTCTGCAAGCAGCAAGTGAGCATAACCCAGGCCTGTGAAGGAACTAGTGTGAAAGGGACTAGCGGGAGGACACAGGCCAGTCCGATGAGCAGGTTAGAGCTCAGTGATGATGCAGCAAGGCCGGTGGGCCCTCGTCGGAAGGAGCCTAGCCCAGCCACGGATTTTGACATTCTAAGTCCTAAAAGGCTCCCACACACTACACTGCAGCGGGTCCCCAGACAGCCCAGGGACTCCTCCCTTCCCACACGAAGTCCTGGGAAAGCCACAATATTTCTCTTCTTGTGCTTCCTCCATCAGTCTGCTCCAACTACCTCCCTCTCCCCAGACCGTCACATCAGAGGCTGTGTCTCCACACTTCAGGCCTTCACCCAGAGCCCTCTCTTTCCCTGAAACCCCCTCTTTCCCCTCCAGTCGCTCTACTCCTCTTGGGGCTTTGAACCAAAGCCCACCTCTCTCCCTACCAGGATTACTTTAGTTTGCACTGACTTTCTCCGGCTGCGCCATCTGAGTCGTGTCCTTAGTCATCATTATTTATAGGGCTTCCTAGAATGCCCAGGGGCAAGGGCCAGACCCGCGTTAAACTATAAAGAGTAGGAAGAGCCCCTACAGGCCACTTAGGCCCACCATTTCCCTGGGGACACAAGCAAGCAGAGGTCCAGAGGGGAGAAGTGATTTCCTCAAGGCCACAAGAGAATCAGTAACAGAGGAAAGAAACATCCGTATCTCCTGACTCTCCACCCACAATGTCTTCCATGACTGTCTCTTGCCTAAGCAATTCACCTGAAGAGCCAAACCCAGGAACAATTACCTCTTCAGAGAAATTATACGGCGTGGGTCAGAGCTCTCTCCTGATGTTCCAGCGGCTGTGGGTCTTGCTCAGGGTCTCTGCTTTGGCAGTTCTGGCTGAATCACAAGGTTCCAGAATAAGCAGGAAGGAGCCAGGCCTGGGTGAGGCTGCCTCCAAGGCACTGCACCCTCCTAGGAGGCAAGAGAAGGAGCCCCATGAAGTTAACCTTGAGCTTTCCCGCCATCTTCCCTCTATGGCCTCCACCTCGCAGCGAGTTCTGGGATCCAAACGTGCTCAGGGGTATGGAAGGCTGTCATCCCCAGGGCCTCACACTATAAACTTCATTTCCTCCCTTTATTGCAGTTAACTGCCCATGAACTCTATTAATATTTTGCAAATTGAGATCCCTAAAACACATGTTACAGTTAATTTTAACCTCATGCTAACTAGGATGTGGTCAGATTTTCACAACAAATTCCGAGGATATTTGCTATGCCTTGGGAAAATACATTTAAAGGTGGCTCTGAGGTGTATTGTTTTTTTTTTCTGAATCCACACATTTCCTTTCAACCCCTGTCGTTAAGGAGCAGGCAGAAGTAAACCGTTTTAGGAGAGGAGGAGCCCAAATACAACGGGACTCAGTTACGATGCCACCGTGGCAGAAGGAAGCATCCACCAGACTAGGGCCGGGTCGGAGAGTCCCATGTTTCTGAATTTGCCGTAGGGAAAGCATCACATCCCCTTAGTCAGCCAGTGGGTGCGCGCTTTTGCACAAGGGATCATTTTTCTTTAGGAACATGTTATCATTCCATAAGCACAGTTCTTCTCTTAAGGAAATGGTTTGGGTTCTATAAGTTTAGTAGGAAAAAACTGATTTTTTTTCTTATCTCCAGTTTGTGTTTTAATGGAATAGTATCACAAGTGGAACTTCTAAAACTGATCAGCCAGAAAGAAGAAACCCTTCCTTACATCCCTTCCTCCCACTCTCCCTGCCTGCCTTCTTTCTTCTTCTTTCCTGCTTTCCACTCAGCAAGTCTTTTCTGAGTACCTCCATGTGCCAGGAATCGCTCTAGCCTTTGCAGATACAGTGGTAAACATATCCTCGAGAAACACTAACCGCATGACTCCACATTTAATCATTTAATTATACTTGAGTATGCAACCATTGAGGTAGATGTTCTTCCCCAAGAACATCAATCTATTCAAAAGATTCATCTTAACAGAAAGATCTGAGAAACTGTGCAGCTATAGAAAAAGAAAAATGCCCCTTCTATTAATCGGGGTCATCACTTTTCTGTTTTTAAGGGTTTTTGTTTCCCAAAACAATTCCCCATTTCCTTTCAATCATGCTCTTAAGCTGAGGTTAACCTAAATCTTGGTCACTCCAAAGGAGGAGACGGTGTGGTGTAGCATTTTCCCCCCACAACCAATTCTGAGACGGATGACAGGAGCAGGGTCATTGGGGAAAAGCATGTCCAACTTCCTCTGCCTCCTGCCCTTCCACAGCAGCCAAGGTCACACCCAGACCTGGAGTAGAGACCCTCCTCTTCCATGTGAATATTGAACTCTTTCTCCAGCCTCCACTCCTCTCACTATCTCCCCAACCCTCTGAGTCCAACAGAGCAGGTAACATTCCTAATGTGTAAATGCCAGCTTCTCTCAGTATCTTCAATACTTAGTTATTCAGGGAGGAGTCATCTCCAGAGGGGAAGGGAGACAGTCCATCTTGAAGGACCAGTGACAGCTGAGCTAATTAATAATCAGGACAAAACATTTGACCAAGCACCAGTGAACATGCCACAGGTTTTATTTCTCAAATTGTATTTTGCTAAAATGAAAGCATGGGAGGTATTCTGGATTAAAGAATGGAATCAGGTAAAGATTCTCAAACTTTTTGGTTTCAGAACACCTTTGCACTCTTAGAACTATAGACCTCAAAAATTTACGTGGATTCTGTCAATTGATATTTAACACATTAGAGCCTAAACTGAGGATGATTTTTGAAGGTTTTTCAATGAACTAATAATCATTAAAAATCATTACATTTTGATATCAATAATATATTTTTATGAAAATAACTATAACTTTCTGCAAAGCAGTTATGAGAAAGAAAGCAATTTACTTAATGTTTGTTTTAACAGAAGAACACTGACTCTCATATCTGCTTCTGCATTCAGTCTATTGTAATTTCACACATCACGTTGCCTCTGGAAAACTCTACTGTGCATTACTGAAAGACCACGCTTCACTGTCTATGCCCCACTTGCTTCATTGTTAAAATGGATATAATAATCGTACCTACTTACCTGATAGTTATAAAATCAAATGAGTTTGTCATGCAAACTGCTTGGAGCAGTATCTGGCGTGTAGTGAGAATTGTTACTGTCGCCGGCACCATTGTTATTAGCGCTTACTCTTCTGAACCCCTCCCTGAATGAGGAAGGACTCCTTCCATGTTCAGATGGAAGAAAACGCGACACTTACACGCGTTGCTCTTGGAGGGAAGCCGGATCCCTCTCTCTCTGTCCTCTGGGATCCCCATGGAGACAGAGCACGCAGGGCCTTTCATTGTAAATGTTGGCCCAGGTTTGGACCAGTGGTCCTGCAGTGACTCAGACTTGAGGCTGTCAGACGGGTCCTTATGGGATTAAGCAATTTACAAGGAGCCCTGGAATCCTCCTCATGATCGTCAAGGTACTGGGTTGGATGGAAACTCAAGGGTCCTTCTGTTTTACTTGCCTCCAGCTGTAGGACTTTTCCGTGCTCCGTCTCTGATGTTTACCCTCAGCCGTGGTGTGGGCGCTGTCAGGGACTGGGAGGTTACCTGACTGAGGTGTTCTCTTGATTGACGGCATATCGGGGGTTCACACATCTTAGTCTTGCCTCCCTGGGGCCTCTCCAGCGCCTTCTCTTCTTTAACTCTCCTTACCCAGGCCATGTCCTCAGTGACAGGGTTTACCACTATTCCTCTGGTATTAAGCCATACTATTTCTGTTTCTTCTGCGGGAATGAATAAGGGTGAGAGCCAGGGGCATTGGAGGTAGACTCAGACTTGAGTATGAGCTGTGTAACTTTCACCAACTTACTGAACTACTCTGAGCCTTGGTTTCTTCAGCTTAATAATAAAGGTACCTGAGGATGTTATCTCACAGGTTTAACCAGAGATCATGCGAGATAATTCACATAAAGGGCCTTGCAGGATGCCCTCCCTGGAGAGGATGGGGTTGACTTGAAGGCTGGTGCCTAGGAACAGAAATGGGGATGAGGGTGCACTTAGGAGAAAAAGAATGAGGTGAACAGGATTTGACAAGAGAGGAGCTAAGCAAGGCTGTCATCTCCACTGGGGCCCACCTTCAGCCTGACCCCATGTGAGCTCTGGAGTGTGAATCCCCCCTTAACAATGTCCCACCTTGACAACAAAGCGTGATGCTTTTGTAATTCTGTGTCAGGGGATCATTGGCTGAGGTATGAGGAGTCGGGGAGAGTGGTTGGGGTCGGGGGAGAGGGCAGGAGGAGGTGCCTAACACCCTCGATGATGTGGCTTCCAATCCTTAGAACTTAATTCTGTAGCGAAGGGAGAAGCCATGAGAAAAGGGCGCACAGGCCCAGGAAAGAGGATCCTGGAGGCTCAAACAGCATCTATAACCTTAACACTCCCTCCTGCTCAGGTACCCAGGCTTCTCACATTAAGGTCAGTTCCCCCAGGCACAGCCCCTCCAAGACTCTGCTTGATCACAGCTCCCGAGGAAACATCCTAGAGAGGTTTAGCGGGACTCCCTCCAGCTCTCACACCGCCACTGGTCCCCAAAGTGACCGAGACTCATCATCTCCTGTGTCCCCCATGCTCCAGGATCGCTCTCCTCCCCTCTCTTGGCTAGCATCACCCATCTAGGTGGCTTGCCTCATGCATTAACCCACCTCTATGGGTCTGAGTCCAGGGTCACCATGCCTTTAAGCTTATGCATCTTGTCAGGGCTGGGCACAGCAGAAGAGGCTAGTGGATGACCTGGGGCCACACGTACCCTACTTCTTCTCTGTGAAACAGCAGCCCTTTCTCCTTACGATCAGAGTTCATTACAACTGTGGGTGCCATAACTCCTTCTTCGACTGATGGTCTAGTGGTACGGGGGGCCCCCAATGACCCGGGAGCAATCAGCTTTAAGTTATTAGGAGTCCAATGTTTCCTAGTAGAAACAGAATCCAGAATCTAAAGTTTCAGGGACTAGAAGCGTATACAAGCACTGCCCAAGCAGTTCACTGGCAGTGACGGTGAGTGGGCACCCCGAGAAATCCACTACAGGGCTCAATAATAAATCCTTTCTCTCGAGAGAGAGAGAGCCAAGATCCCCTGGCACCCTCCAGGGCAGTCCAGTGATCCCCGGGGCACGCAGAGGCCCCGGGGAGGGGTGGCCCCAGGGCTGGCTGAGAAGGAGCGCGAGGCCGCTCTCAGTTGAGAGAGCTCCTTCATAGCCCAGGGCCGTGCAGGGATCTGGGCCCTGGGTCCCCTCAGCCCAAGTCAGCAGCCCCCAGAGTGTCTCAACCCTGCTGCGGGCCTCAAAGCTCAACCCGCTTGGCCCAGGCCCCACACGACTAGGACGCCCAGGGCTTCAAAGGAGCGCCCCTCGCAGCAGCCTCCTCCTCCAACGCTTCTTGCCAAAGCACAGCGGAGGCAGGCTTGAAGCTAAATATTTGGATTGACTGGGAGGGAGAGTCCAGTCCCTCTGAGGGGTATTTTGCCCAGGCCATGAGGAGAGAGCCAGCTCCCGGCACAGGCGTGGGAAGCAGGGCATCGCCGTGCGGTCGGTCAGCCGGCAGGAGAGCCTCCCCACCTGCCTCCCTCATCTCATTTCAGCCCCTTAACCAGCCTGAGAACCTGCAGGGTGGGGTGGCTCCCCTCTTGTGTGTGCAGAAATTGAGCATCTGGCCAAAAAGGGGAAGTAGACTTCTTAAGTGTGTACACTAGAGACGGGCTGAAGACTGGCCCCTCACTCAGGCCTTCTGAAAGCGGGGTCTGCCCCCACCTTAGCAATCTAGGGTATTTGCCTCATCATTGATCATGCCTGGTATAAGCACATGATTCTATAGGGAGGTGGAAAGAGCATGGATTTGGGGGAAAAGAACTCACCCTTTGTGACCCCAGATCTGTCACAGTAGACCCTCTGGAGCCTCGGTGTCATCTGGAAGGTGCAGGCCATCATGGACCCCCTCCCCCAGGCCCAGCACTGGACTGTGCAGAGGACCAGCCGAGTCAGTGTGTGTCTTAGAAGCTCTTTCCACACTGCGCAGCCCCTGCACCAGGCCAAGGTGACAGCGGTGATTACGCTGAAGAGCTGATCATCACACCACGACCTGAAAGCAATTGAAGACGGCCCTTATCTTAGACATCCTCTTTTCTACCCACTTCATTTTCTAAATGTAAGAAACTAGTTTGCTTCAGATGACCTAGTGAAGTAGTAGCCAAGCCAGGCTTAGATGTCCCGGGCCCGAGCTGTTCCATTACCTCCTCTTTCTCTGAATGTTCCCAAACACTTCAAAAGCGCAACGTTTGTTCTCTGCGAAGTAGATGGGACAGATGATATGCCCCAAGTTTACAGAGCAAGAAATGTGACACAGGGTTACGAGCATTACCTCAAATGGCTTGGTGAGTAAGTGGTGGCCTGGGAGCTCACTCTTCATCTGCCCAAAGTCATTTCATTTTAAAATTTAAAGAACAACAAAAATGAAAACTACTCACACCAGATACTTGCAGTCCAAGTGTCAGAAGGCTTCCCTTCGTACAGATTTCACATCCATTGCAGATTCTCCTTTAGTACGTCCTTGTCTGGTAGGCAGCCCCCCTCTGCCCTGAGAGCTCCCGTGCAACCCTCATCAGACAAAGAAACCCCTTGTTAAACATCCCTGACTTTAGCTAATATTTACCAAGAGCCTACTGTGCGCAGGGGACTAGCGGTATTTTGATTGTTAGAAAGTTCTCCTGTGGGTTAGAACACCATCTGACTCCTTGTGGCCAGTGGCCATCCTGCAGTCAGACTTCAATCCAACTGCCCGGTGTGATTTATTTGCTAAGGAATTTGGCAAAGTTATCCATTCCCTTCTTCTTGACACTCTGTCTTCCTTACCTCCTGGCAATCAGGGGTCTTCTCCTAACCCTCTGGCTGATCCTTTTCAGTTTCTTTCAGTGGCTACTCTTTTTCTTTCCTACCCCTTAAACATTACTGGTCAGGATGGTGCTGATTCACAGCCTCAGAGACCTGATTCCCAAATAATACATCGACCCAGACCTCTTTCCACCAACCAGCACAAAGATGTTTCCCTTTGGCTGGCCCACGGGCACCTCAAGCTTGGCATATCTACAGCTGAACTTCTTTAATCCCCTGGAAACCTCCTCTCTATCCTGTCTGCCTTATTATTCCACATCTAAACCCCAAATTTGGACATCATCTTTCCTTCCTTTCCTTTGTACATTGTCTGATTCCTCAGTTCTTGACGCTTCCCTTCTCCCCACCCCGACTCTTGCTGGTTTAGTCCTGACCCCATTTTCATTTCCCTAGAGCATATAACAGACTTCCAGCTTGCACCCTGGCCTCCTTGTAGTTAATTCACCACAATAACACAGGAGTGATCTTTCTAATATGTGATATGTTTGGTCACTCTTTCCCTGCTAAAAACCAGTCAATGACTTGCATCTTCAAAGGATAATGTCAAAATATTATATCATGAACTAAGGAGCCTTGTGATCTGGCCCCTGCCTACTTTTCTCATTTCCTTTCTTTAAGTCCTCTGTGGTCCTTTTACACTTTAGTCTGGTCATTTCTTAAATATGCTGTGCCTTCTCTGGATCCTGGTCCCTATCAAACTTCCATTTTCTGGGATGCTCTTCCTTTCAAAGGATACATTTGATTATTCTGCTTCCTGAAGAAGCATCTCTTTTGTGAAGCCATCCCCAACCTCCCCAGGTAGAGCAAGTCTCCCCCACTCATGCCGCTGTGGCCATGACACTATCCTCTATAACATAGCTGGGTACTGTGCATAGTGACATCTTGATGGCATATGCTGACTTTTACTCATCTCTCTGCATTCTGCTGCTTAGCACAGGCCTGGAACCACCTAGACACTCAAAAATTATTTGCCAAATGAATTAGTAAAATGAGTAAATGAATGATTGTATCTTGTGCTTCTGCACTATGTCAGCCTCTCTAAGCTTACCCCAAAATGTTTAACTATGAAATTGTTCATAGCTCCCCAGCCAGTGGAACCAGCTCTTTATCATTTGAATTTAACTAGAATGACCTCTCCACTTACAACAAGCAGTTAAATGAAACCATGAGCAAGGAAATTAAAGACAACATTTTAAGAGAGCATTGCATCTTCTCTTCATTGACCCCCAACTCCCCATGTCCAAAATGGGTTGCTGCTCCTGCTCTGTCCATCCCAACTGCAAATCTCAAAATTGGTGACACCATATTTTCCTATCTCTTCCCTTCTGCCTCCTGATAGTTCCTCCTCTCTGTGTTGCCTGATTCATCATTAGCAGATACCGTCTACTTGCTTGAGCTGTTTGTGTCCTTTATTGCTATTCAGGGCTTCAGATTTATTCCCAACCTGGAGGATGATCAGCTTGAGATTAGGAGAATGTGTCTTCCCAAAGCGATTTTCAGAAAGTACACTAAGGGGGAGAAAAAGGCTGGAATGAGGTTTGATTTAGTTTGGGCTGATTTTCTGGTTGAATTCTTTCATGTTGCCTCTGCTACACCTGCTGACTTACCACGATGTAAGATACTCAGCAACACAAATGTTTTCTTCCTATCCCCTCCTGCAGCGTCGACCTGCCCAGTTAAGGCCATCTGCCCCAGGGACTATTTGTCAGACTAGAATCAGAGAACAGAGGGAATAATTCCTAACAGTTAAATTTAACAATCTTGATGTTATGAATATGATTTAGGAAGATTTAGAAAGCAAATGTGTTTGTAACTACTGGGACTCTCCTGTCCTCTATACCTAACCTCAGACAGTCCGGGAACCCACCAGCTGGGAAGGGAAGGGAGAGTTAGGGCAGGTTGCCAGTTCAGATGCTGATCTTCGACTGGGTCCTGGCCACTCCCCACTGGGTTAGCTCTTACAGGAGGGCTGTTAGGGAGACTAGAACTCCCCGCATAAGGTCTGAGCATCAGAGCTGTCTTCGGCTCCCCCCTCCCATCCCAGAGATGTGGGTGTGCCCTGCTGCCAGGAGGCCCATTGGGCCCAGGCCAGTTCTTAGTGGGCCTCTAGTGGGCAAGTTTGGTACTGTGATTACTATTTGTCCGAGGAATACTTTCATGCATTGGGAAAAATCTTGAGGATATTTAGTTTTTAGATAATCCATAAAAAATAAAGGAGAGCAATTTTTGAAAACTAGGTAGAGAGAGAGGGAGAGAGATGAAGAAACAGAAAAAAGAGATAAGGGGGCAAAAGAGGGAGGAGAGCGCTTCTCCTGAATTCAGTTTCTGCAGAAACACGTCCCGAGCAGGATCCCTGGGTGAGTGATTTAGCAAGGGAGTTTCTCCTGGCGGGGCTGGTAGGGGAGGAGGGTGCCACTGTCACATTCACAAAAACGGTAAAGAGGAAATCCGAAAGGATCTGCATGCAGGGTTGCCAGGTTTAACAGCTAAAGTATAAGATGCCCAGCTAAATCTGATTTTCAGGTAAACAAGGAATCATTTTTTAATGTAAGTATGTCCCATGCAATATTCGTTTGAATTTAACTGGGTGTCCTGCATTTTATCTGACAACCCTGTGTGGGTGGGAGCCCTGACACTGTCCACTAGGAGACTGAAGGAGGAGGAGTGTGGAAGGGGAAAGGCCCAGCTGCTCTCATTCCCTGACCGCTGAGTTGAAATGCATTTTGCGACCCAAAACATTGTGATCAAATGGATGTTAGAAACATCCCATTTCAATGTTGTTCCCCCATCCCCAATCTTCAAATCCAACTTTGGCTGGAGGTGATTCTTGGACACATCTGATTTAAAACACACACACACACACACACACACACACACATGATGACAATCTATTCCCTCTGATTCCAAAAATAATGAATGTCCAAAGAATATATACAGGGTATTTAGAAGAAAAGATAAAAGATAATCTGTTATTAGTAGAATGGTGCATTTATTTCTTCCCTTTTTCTCAGTATATGTATATATGAGGTTTTTAAAAACATTTTAAATGTGTTTTTCAAAATTAAGACAGTACTCTAAATGTTTTAAATCCTACTCTTAAAAATGAACATTATTATGAGAACTTCCTATCCTTACTTATTATTTGAAAGCATCCATTTTAATGAATGCATATTATGATGCATGGCTAACTTATCCTATATTAATTCCCCTATTTTGGACACGAGTTATTCCTAATTTGTGGATAATAGAAATGACACTGTGAGTAGCTACACAAATATTCATCAGCATATCTTACCGTTGCCTTGAGAGTATCCCTAATGCTTTTTACACCCAACTTTAAACTTAGGCTTCCGACTAGAGCTGGAGGAGTGGCGAGCTGTTCAATTATCCGATGCTACAGTTTTTCCTTTACAATGGGATGGCTTCCACTAACCACAAAGAGAATATTCAGGTGCAACTGACAGGATCAATTGATATCTTCAAATCTCTGGAGCCTGTTAGGAGAATAAAAGGAAACAAAACAATGTTCTGGATGGCTCTGGAGATGGAAGAAAAACTTAAGGAGTGAGGGACACATTAACTCAACAACAGAAGTGTCCTGATCGTTCTGGGAGGCAACAGAAATAGCTCCCTCGAGGAACAGTGAGCGCTGGCTCGCTGGAGGCATTCCTGGGGGAAGTGGCTGGGCACAGTAGCTAAGAGCAGCAGGGCCTCTGGAGCCAGAGGTTGGGGGGCTTACTCCCAGCTCTGCTATGTTCTGGCTGTGTGACCTGGGGCTAGTGGCAGAACCTCTCTGCGCTTTGGCATCCTCAGCTGAAAAGTGGAACGGATCCTAATAGTTGTGAGAATGAGATCAAGAACTCGCGTACAGCACCAGAGCTACGCTGAACATCTACTACGTGTTCGATAAATGTTAGCACTTATTTCCAGTGCTGTGACTCTAGATGGGCTCGGTTATGCGATATAGTTGGCTGGTAACTCTTAGCACTTGTGAGTCTACACTTGGTCTCTGAAGGTCATTATTCCAGGACAGTGACACCAGTCCGATGGACACTACTAGCTTTCTGCAGGGCGTACCTGGTTCTATGTGTTTTCAAATCTGTGTGTCGTTGTTTACCTTTTCATGAGCAAAAACCAACTTCAGGACTCTGTCCCTTTGCAGCTGTGATGGAGCCCAACTGCGGCTTTGCAGCTTATCCACTCTGGAATCAAAGAGCTGCCTTGTAAAAGTAGTGTTGCAATCTTTAAATGCCCATAAAGAGGGATTTGAACATTTATCTCACATCATGTGAGTTGGTCAAAGTAAACAGAAAGTCTTTCAGTTGAAGAGTGGAAGTGATGACTGAGTGAAATGATATAAAACAGGAGAGTGAGGTTGAGAATGTGTGTTCGCTGTAAATAGAGGAAGGAGCCAAGTGTGGTTGGTACAAGCTAAGTCAGATTTGTGTACAGTAGGCAAGGCCACTTCCTAAGAACAGGGGCAAGTGGACGATGCCAGCAGACAGTGAGTTCCCCTCTTTCCTATTTCCCATTTCTTGTCTGCAGCCTCCCACCCAGAAATATCTGGGAGGATATCCTAAAACAAGAAGGTGTCTTCTACTGGAAAGACCAAAGCTTCATGGTTTCTGAGATTGAAGTGCATGAAATACTGGGGACCACAGCAACTCTGATCACCTGCTCACTCACGAAGACTGAATTAGGGAAAGCAAAACACTACAGCAGTCGTCCCTTTCAACTGCCCGAGATGAAAGGTAAACAGAGGACCCACTTCCTAGCGTAGAAAGTGAATGTTAGGGAAACCACTTTAAAGACAGCTAAGTGTTAGAAATAAAATGAAGTTGTTCAAATTAAAAGCTCAGAGAATGCATTAAACGGCAAATTACACTGTGGGGAGGTGGAGACCGAGGGGGACAGGAGTGGTAAAGGCAGGGAGAAGACCCTGATGGGATGGGGGCCCCCCCGAGAACTCCCTCTGCATCTCCTCTGTGCACCATGTACCCCGATTCGGCTCAGAACCAAGAAAAAAGGATCAAATTTGTTTCCAATGACTCACAACCCACCAGAGCTTCTGGAATTCAGACCTCTTTTGTCCCAAATCCTAGAACTATCCCAGCCCTGTAACAAGTTCACATGAAAACTTGTGGCCTCTCACTTTGTTAGTGTTTAAAATAGCAAAATCTCTGAAGATTTACAGCTGATTTTTTCCTCTTTTCAGAACGTCCCCTGTGGATAGATTCGGTATGACTGGTAGAGAGGAGGTACCATCCCTGGCCACTAGACCATTGGCTCCCACGACCGAGCACCCACTCATAGCAAAGACTCTAAAAGTTTGGTTTATCCTGTATTTCGGTCACAAACGTTTTTTTATTGGAAAGGGCTTGTAAATTTTTTTTTTTTAATGTCAGCTCTGGAACAACATGTGACTTATGAGCTTAAAATCAAAGCTACTTCTAGAGAATGGCTCCTGGGGGAGACCTAAGGGTTAGACTGTGGAATCTGATGGCTTCAATTAAGGACAGTCCCCAGTACCAGGAAGCCCAGCAGGCATGGATATCCTGGAAGGACTGAGAGGTGGGCAACGGGAGACCACGCCGAACCAGTTATGCTGGAGTGGACCAGGTCAATGGAGGGGTCGAAGGCTTACTTGCTGGGTGGCTATAAATATAGTGAAGATGCAGGTGGTTTTGTTGGTGAGATGGGAGGCCCATGGCCTTCCTTTATAGTCACTCCTGGCTTTTGAGCACAACAAGGTGCCCTGCATTTTGTGTCTTGACTGTGGTGATAGAAAGCTCTATGCATGTGATAAAACTGCAGCGAACTCACACACACACACACACACACACACACACGCATGCACAGATAAAACTGAGAAATCTTCTCCCAATGTCTATAAAACTAGTTGTGATATGGTACTATGGTTTTGCAAGACATTGCCATTTGGGGAAACTGAGTAAAGAGTGCGTGAGGTCTCTGCAGTATTTCTTACAACTGAATGTAAATCTACAATGATTTCAAAATAAATTTTGTTTTTAAAAAAATCGGTCGCAATTGAAAAATGTCGGAAAGCTATCTTTCTAATATGCGTTCTTATACTGTAAAGAGTGGAGAGTTAAAGGCGTATTCCCTCAAGGCTAGGGCTCCAAATGTTATATAGTTTCCAGATACACTCCTGGGAAGCTGAGAAGGTGGAATGGGGCGAACGTGATCACAGAGGCATCTGGTTTTGCCCTCTGACCCCGCCCCGCCCCTGGTTTGAGCAGGCATGCCAGTTTTCAGTCACGAGTTGTGGTATCACGAGGGAGCGCAGGGCATCACTCCTCTGCCGGTGCAGCGGCAGCAGACACGGTGTGGCTTTGAATGCAGCAGTTTTGAAGGCAGTTTCTGGATTCTTGGATTATGACTAAGGCCGGGTGTTCCTTGGGCCATATTCCAGTGTATTTTGCCAATTCCCCATTTTCCCGGGGGTGAGAGCGGTGGCCACTACCCTGCTGGGCCAGTTCCTTGATGACTCTGGGGGTCACTTATGGAGACCTAGCTAAAGCTTTTCAAGGGTTCTCTCAGCATGTACTTCTCTTCCGTGTATCCCTTATGCTCAGAAGGGCTAGCGTGGGGATTTCATTTGTTTGTCTTTTTTTTATCTTCAACCGCTCTCGGATGCTGAAGCCCGGCAACTTTATAGGTCCATCACTCTGCCGCTGGATTCCTTCCCAAATGAGACAGCCTCCATCTAATAGTCTAAAAATGTCTACGGAGAGTTAGCAAAAGTCATAGAATGATCAAGGGGGCTTCCTAACAGCTGGAATTCTCTGGGGTTGTTATCTGAAAGTGAGGAGAAACAGCAGGAGGAAACTGGGGTCTCGGTTACGGGAAATCATTAACACTTTCACCTGTACAGAGATGGGGGTACTGTTGATGGCAGCACAGATAAAACGCCCCAGAGACACTTTAGGGAATGCTGAACGCTGTTTCAACAAAGTGGTAGCTTTGTAGGATGAATAAGTCTTGAGATCTAACGTGTACAGCATGATAATAGTTAGTAACAGAGTACTGTACACCGGGAATTTGCTAAGATAGTAGATTTTAGGTTCACGCACCAGAAAAAAAAAAAAGAAAGAAAGATAAATATGAGAGGAGAGGGACATGCTAGTGGTCATTATTTTACTATGTGTAATGTGTCAAAACATCATGTTTCACTTCTTAAGTAGATATAATTGCTATTAAAGGTATAAATTTTAAAAACTTTCTAATACATTCAAACTCTCTGGGGTTTTAGTAGGTTTGTTTGTTCTTAGTGAAACTCTTGGTGCGATGGTGTCGAGCATCCCACAGGAAATTAAAAGCAGCTGAGAGGTTGTTTGAAACTCCTATCTGTCCCCCTTGTGATATTCCTTCTCTCCATCCCTTAAAATGTTAAGAATCTCTTCTCTGCAGTAAATAGAACAAAACGGAGGTGTGCTTGCAGGCCAGGTCAGTGGACCAGCTGGGACTGGCAAGGTCGGATGCTATTGCTGGGATGTGGTGGGGCTCTGTGGCTTTCATGTTTAGAAAGGGGAGGCTGAGAGCGGCTGGACCCTGGAGGAGAGCCGCCTCTTCTGTGGCCTTAGCCTCCCCGTGTGTTTCCTCCTTTCTCCTTTTTCTCCACCCACCTTTCATCATCCTCAGAAGCCCATGTGTGTGAAAAGCAACAGAGGAATGTGGGTGGGTTGACTTGTATAATTAAATCCATGTTGCACCGTGTTCTTTAGAATTAATAAGAAATTCATCCCATTGAAACTCACCATGACATCTTCCCTCTGACTCAGATTTCTTTTGCATTTCTCTCCTTTCCTTGGCTAAAAGCATTAGACATGGGGCTATGGTTCAAATTAGTATCCTACATTTCTCTCCTCTTTTTTTTTTAATTGAACTTTTCTGTTCAGTAAAGAGTTTAGTTTGTTTATATTTCATTTTTCTTCTGTTCTATTTCTCCGCCATTGTCTTTTTTCTTTCTCCACTTGGAAAACTTACTCAGCGAAGGAGAAAACAAGCGAGCTCTTCATCTTGCTTTTGATGGCAAGGTTGGCCAAATTGCGCGGCTGGCCAGAGCTCGACAATCCAGGCGTCATCCTCCGAGGCTCTTCATTCCCTGGACCTCCATATCCTGACACCATGGAAACCAGGCTCCCACAGATGTCCACTGAGGCCAGAGGGAGCCGTGTCTGTGAGACTCTGAGACAGGGAGACACAGGGAATAAACGGTACTTCTAAATTCCTGGGTCATGTTGCAAAACACCTTTTTATTGGGGGTAATAATCTGACTTCATTCCCTTATAAAAGTAGATTTATGTGATGGATACGTGATATATATTTTTCTGCCACTGTTCTTGTGGGATAGTGGGTGTATCAGTTAGGATTAGATTCAACTGTGAGTAACATAAACCCGAAATAACAGTGGCTTAAACCTGATAAAAGTTTTTCCTCGCTCATGTAGAAGACCGGCTGTAGTAGTTCAGGGCTGGTCTGGTGGCTCCATTCCACAAAGTCTCCCTCACAATCAAGGACCCTGTACAGCTCCGGGGGTGTGGCCCCCAGCCTCACGGTCCACATAGGTAGTTACATCATCGTCTTGAGAACATTCAGATGAACATTCAAAGGAGCTCATCTCCTTCCTCTGTAGGTGTCTGATCACAACAGGGTGCCTCAGCCCAGCCTCAGGCGTGAGATCTGGGGCTGAGGGTTGAGACCAACACAGGCTTGGGTCTGACTGTGCTTGCCCATCGGATGTGCACATTTGAATAAACCCCTCACCCTCTATGGGGTTATGTAGAATGTATGTATGTTTTCTCGTACATATAATGGAAATCATACTGTATCTCTTACCACAGGATGAGGATACAGGAGGATAACACATGTAAAAGAACTGGCCTGCTGATTAGCATGATAACAAATGCCGTTTTACAGAGCTTTTAAATTTCTTGCGGAGTGGTTTTTCTGTTTCAAAGAAAACCAATCCCATGTTTAGAGACCTAGGGATAGCACCCCTGAAAGTGGGCTGCGCGTTCTTTACAAGCCCTTCTCCCAACCAGAAAAGAGAGTTAACAGGACTCAGGCAACCCCATCGGTCGTTCTTCCAGTGAAGCAGGTTTCTCTTTCCTTCTAGTTTTCCTCTCTGGGGGGTACAGTGGATCGATGGTAAATATCCACTCCCCATTTCTGTGTGTTGCGATGTTTTTTCAACTGCAAGTTGAGAGACCCATTCATGGGTTGTGAAAGCAGTTTAGTGGGTCATGGCCAGCACTTTTTATTGAAAATAAAATGAAACAGAAAAGGTTAGAAAAAAATCAGAGTGCGTCACAAATAATCAATATATCTTTTTCCTGAAATGGATTTCATATATGTATGTGTGTTCACGTACGTGTATTCTACTTTATAAAGTAAAATGTATTTCCTAAAATGGGCTGTGAATCTTGAAAAAGAAGAATAAAGTGGGAGGAATCACTCTATCTGACATTAAAGCTTACTATATACATACAGTAATTAACACAGCATGATATTTGCAGAGAGATAGGTCCATAGATCAACAGAACAAAACAGAGAATCCAGAAATAGACCTCCGTAAATATGTCCAGCTGATTTTTGGTCAAAGTGGAAAAGCAATCCAAATGGAGGAAAATTCAGTTGGTCTTTTCAATTCGAATGATCTTTTTTTAAAAAAATGGCCCAAGAAGCTTGTCATCACATCTGCATTCTAAGTGGCAGCAAGAAGACAAGAGACGCCATCACGTGTGCCAGCTGTCTTTTAAGAAAAACAACTAAGAGGTTCCCTTGGGTCTTTATCTATGTTCCACTGGCTGGAGCTTAGTCACATGGCCATACCAACGTAAGGAAATGGGCAATGTCATCTTCACTCTGAGCATCACACTCCCCATTAAGATTTTTGTTATAAGCAGAGAAAAACAGATATTGGTCGACAATTTATTATCTACGCTACACAAAGATGATGCAAGTGTGGAATTTCACCTCTCCTGGACATCAAAATGAAGTTTCTGCAGCGCATATTTGACCCCTGATTAAAACCTCAGATAGCTCCTTAATGAACACAGAGTGAAGTCCAGACTTCTTTGTAAGGTTATTTAGGTTCTTGAACATTGGACTCAAGCCCCGATTTCCATCCATCCCCTGCCCACCGCATCCTCCCAAATGCTGGGACTCCCCAACTTCGGTGATCCTGCTCAGCCTCTTCCCTCACCTGGATTCTACGCCTCTAGCTAACAAACAACGCCTTATCCTTGTTGGCCCAGTGAAATTGTCGTTTGCTTCCTCTGATGCCCGTCCTGACTCCTCGAAGCCCGAGGAAGTACCTGTTCCCCTCTCGAGCCTTTCCTTCCTCTACACGCATGTCAATTACAGCACTAACCACAACTTGCCTGCTTTTTGGTGTTGTTTTCATTCTGTTTTGGTTTTGCTGGGGACCGGATGTTCCTCCAGCACAGGGCTTACTTTCCTGATATTCTGTTTCCACAGATCTTGGAATCTCTCCGTCTCCTTAAAATTATTTGTTGAACAATTGAGAGATTTCTCAGGGTCAAAAAGTAGAAAGAAGGAAAAAGTGTCTCTTTACAACAGGTGTGCTTTGAATGGACAGAGCTGGTATTTCACAGCTTTAGTTGTGAAGAAATAATCTGTGCATAGAACTGCTTAAAAAGGCTAAGGTGAAATGGATGATTCTTCGACACCTTGAGATTCCTATTTTACAGAAGTGAGCAAGTCAGGTTCAAAGTAGATTACGGGAGAGACCTCCGGGACCTCGTGTTCCCTTAGTGGGAGCACCTGTCTGCCTGAGGGAGGGAGATGGCTTCAGAGTTCAGCATTCAAAGACAGAGTGGCAAGGACAACTTCAAAAAAAAAAAATCATTCCTCTAGCTACATATTTGGAAGAAAACCCTCTTCTCTCTAAGGGAAAACGTAAGTTTTATTCTTGGAAGCCATGCCTTTTTTTTCTTTTTTTTGCATACAGAGTATTTTATATTCTATTATTATTACTTGTAAATTTGTGCTTGACAACCTTTACATCAATAAAATTTATTTTATTTGGGGGGGGCATTTAAGTAGTAAAACTTTATACTCATTGAAGAACATCTCTCGATTTCTCCCTTCCCCCAGCCCCTAGCAACTACCATTCTGCTCTCTTCCTCTATAAGTGTGATTATTTTAGATTCAGCAGGTAAGTGCAATCATGCAGTATTTGTCCTACTGTGACTACCATATTTCACTTAACATAATGCCATCCAGGCTCATCCACATAGTCACATATGGCAAGATTTCCTTTTTTGTTGTTGTTGTTCAGGCTGAATATGTCCATTGTATGTATATACCACATTTTCTTTATCTGTTCATCCAGTGATGGACATTTAGGTTGTTGCCACATCTTGGCATCTTGTGACTAACGCATGCCCCTTTTTTTGAATGAAATACCACGTGACGTTCTTCATCAGTAACAATCTTCAAGTGAAACCCTGCTGTTAATTGGCCTTCATGCGCCTCAGTTCCTTAAACCTGTAACATTCAGACCCCCTCCTATGGCAGGGACGTTTTTGGTTAATTGACCTGCATGTACTCCTTTACATTTCTCATCTTCTAACTGGATCAGGACCATGTGACTTATTTCAGCCAATCGGCTGTGAACGGAAGTGTTGTAAGTCACGTCCTGTGATGATAGGTAAGATCCAGTGTCTCCTATCTTTGTCTTCCCATGAAGGACACCTATCCCAGATGACCTAGCTGCAAGATGGAGGAAGATTTTACATGAGTGTGAAATAAAACTTCCACATGTTAAGCCACTGAGACTGGGGAGTTTGTTGTAGCAGGTAGGATTAATAACCATGACTAATATGCTGACAGTGTAAGGCTCTTAGGAGGATTAAACAGTTCATTTAAATAAAAGCTTGAGCACAGTGTTTGAGAGAAATCTACATGGCTATATGGTGAAGTAAGGATGCCATTAGGTAATAAAATGGTTACATTGAAAGAAAAATGTCTAGAAGACAGGAAGCCTTGGTTCTAGAGTCATGGAACTTTAGGCCTGGACCTAGAAGTCATTTAATCTAATATTTTCTAAACTTGTTTGACTATAAACATCAGGTTCTCAGGAGAAATACAGATTTCAAGGTCTTGCCCCCCGTTACAATGAATCATAATCTCTACGGGAGGTTTCGATCACAATTGTTTTGTTGGTTTTATATGGAAGGAAAGTGAGTCACAAGAGCTTGATGACTTTCCTAAGGCCACAGAGCTGATTATTTAGCACACTGAGATTAGGACCCAGCTGCCACGAAGCCTAATGCTTTACTTCTGGGCTCACATGCTAATGTTCTAATGGAGTGAGGCCAAGACTGACCCTTTGTCCCCCTTTTTCTGATAAATCATGTCAAGACCTGCAAATGATTTTACCCCTTAACAATGAAAAGAAGATGTAATTTTAAAATTACCTTGGATGTACAGTAAAAGCAGCATTCCCATAATCAATCATCCAAAATCACGGGGTTATTTGGAGCTATTTGAAGGAAAGTAAATTGAAAACATGTTGTTAAACAATGCACCAAAGAGTTATCAAATCATAAACATCTAGATTACTTTAACATGTTGATTATTCCACATTTAGGGTCTCCTTACAAAGTAACTCTGGCCATGAAGAGACCTGGAAAATTCAATGAATCTCTTCCTAAGTTGTTAACTGTATTGGGTTCAACCACTTGGCCATGTGGGAACATATGTTAAAGTGAAAAAATACACACACACACACACACACACACACACACACACAGACAGACAGACATACTTTTTGGAGCTATTATTCACACTTTCACTAAGCAGAAGACACGGAGGCCTGTTATTAGGACATGTCTCTGAGGGTAAAGAAATAGCTGGGGGAACGCAGTGGTATAACATTGAACACATTAAAACCTATCTGGAACTTAGGAAATCAAATATACAGACATTCCATAATGACCCCTGGGTTTTAGCATAATTCCTGAACCTGAAAATTCATAACTAAATAACGGCAGCACATTTATGACATAAAATGCCTTAACCATTTGTTTATTATTATATGTGGATTTCAAGTTTTATGTTTAAGAAAATTGAAAGCCTAGCCTTTTCCTCCCCCTTGGAGGGGCGATACACCAGATACCACTGAGAGTCTTTGTTTTTCTCACTGGGAGAGAGCTAAACCAAGGCTGAAATTTACGTCAAGGCATCTATTTGGTTATCAAATCTACGATCATACACTCGTGTTAAACTAAACCAAATTAAATTAATCTTTGTTGAAAAATAAATGATGTAATTCCTGGAGGATCCTGTTTTACTCCCAGGATGGTGTCCTGGTTTTTCTAAGTAGCTTATATGAAAGCAAAGTCTGAAATTGCCCTTGAAACTGAAAAGAGGAAATTGCCTTGAGTGTGGCAGGTGTCTAGAAGGAGTCCCTACCCATGAGTGATCTGTGATCTAAGGGGTCATCATTCTAGGACTAAATTATATATGCATTCTTCCTGAGGCCGGATGCAAAGGCTGAACTCTAAAATTAATCTAGATGTTATTTCTTCTTTGAGTTCTAAAATGAGCCCAGGGAAGATTAGAAGTCATTCATCTGACTGCGAATCACAGTGCATCCTCTGACTTTTCTTGGAATGGATTCCTTATGTGGACGCAATGCGAGCTGAATTGCATCTGGTTATTGTTTCTAGAGAACTCTGCTGAAATTCAAACTGAGCCTGTGTATTGTGAGCTGATTTACAGCGCCTGCCCATATGAGAACCAGAATGGGACTGGGAGCTGTGACAACCAGGAGGTTACACTGAGGACTGGGTCCATATTAAAAGGGCATGGCTCGGGGGCCGGGAGGAGCAAATGCGATGTTCTCCTGGGCAAAGAAGCCTTCTCTTAGGGCTCTGATAACAGCCAGGAGGGAGAAAGAATGACAGCAGCACGGTGGAAAGAAGACAGAATTTGAAATCAGACATAGCTGAATCTTAATCACGGCTCCACCATGGAGGAGATAGGTGATTTTTAAGTAAGTTTTGTGACTACTCTGAGCCTCAGCTTGCCTGCTGGCAAAACAGTAATAATAGTGGTCTTAAAATAAGCCTGCCTATGGAGTTGTGAGAATTAATGGGAGGCTTCATGCCTAGTATTTAGCATCTGGGAGGTCAAGGAAAAATAGAAAAGTGGTAAATCTTCAGTAATCTCATCGGCCACCAACACACACTGAACGTTTATTATGTGTCCACCATTTTACCACCATTGATGCCAAGCACACACCTGGCGTTAGTGGACACTCAATAAATCCATCATGAAATGACAAAATGATGACTGGAGCTCTTTCAACGTTGACTATCTTTGGCCACGAAAAGAGACAGGCAAGACCAGAGGGGAGCGCCCATGCGCTGGTGCTGGGGGCCCCCAGTGCCTGCACAGCTGTGGGTTTCTGGGGGGACGGCCCTCTCATTTCCTTGGTTCCCTGCCCTTCCGTGAATGGCCTTACCCCTGCTGCTGGGGTGGGGGGTGGGTAGACCTCATTGAGTGTTTTGTGGTCTTGCTGCTTCTGAGTCCAGGGGGAAAAACTGAAACACAAACTAAAAATGTCAAGTTCGATTCTGCTCCTGGAGTTCCCGAGGGCTGGGCAGAGGGTTTGTAGTTTCACCGCAAGCATTTACCAGGGCGCACACTTTGGCAGGACTGAGTCTCCAGATAGCCTAACCTCTGCAGACCCAGAGTGCAGCTGAGCCTCAGGGGTCATGGAAGGGGGAGGTTCTGGGGGGTCCTGGAAAAGACTAATTCAACTTGGGTTCATCATCCTCCAACCCCCCAGTGTAGCCCAGGCTCACTTGGTTTCTGGTTTCAAAATGAAATTTTCACACGGCCCAAATCTCAACCCACCCCTAATTTAAAGAAACAGGCCCTTGGCATGTGATCCAGATAGATCAGCAGTTGCTCACATACAGCTGTGCACATCTGGCACACAGGTATGTGATTTTGCACGAAGATAAATTGTGTGGGGACCAAATGCACAGTTGTTAAACTAAAAATGAATCGCTCCTTGGAAGCAATCTTCCTGCACAGCAGGGCCTCTGCGTGAGCTTGATCTTTTTCATTAGGCCCTTCTCAGAAAGCACAGCTTTCTCCAGAAGGTCTGTGGGTGAAGGGAGGGGCATGCCAACACCTGCAGTTGGCTGTCTGCTGCTCCCTTCAAATCTGAACTTGGACACAGCCTCTGACAGCCGTGGTCAGGCAGTCCTCCCCGGGGAGTCACCCCCAGCCCAGGATCAAGGAAGAGGCCAAGTCCTTCCGTGGTACTGCTTCACTTTCCATAAAGTGTATTTTGCCCGGGGCTGGTTCTTCAGTGGGGAGTCCTTTTGTGGACAGTTGCTGATGGATTCCGGCCCTTCACCAAACTCGTTGGACCAAGAAGTCCACCTCCCTTGGGAGCCTTACGGAGTTAATGGCATCCACCCACTGGGAGCAGCTTGTAACTCAGGGGAGAACATCACGCTCACATGATCTCCAGATCAGAGAGCTCCACTTCAAGATGCTTCACTGGCCTGGAGGAGAGGAAAAATTGGCTCCTGAGCTAGGCAGCCTCCCGGACTCCGCAGAGCACTGCTCTTCTGACTCAGTGGGCTCTATGACGAGGCCTTGGTGTCGAATGCTCCGTTCCAGGCTCAGTTTCACAATTCCAGCAATAGGAAGTTACTAGTTATGGGCACAAATGAGTCAACAATTTTGAAGGAGAGTCTTTCTGTCTTTTTTCCATGGGATGCTCACACAAGCGATGGTCTACCAAATTGATCTATATTCTTGTTTCTCAATATCTTCCTCTCTCTCAGTCCCCCTTCCACCCTGATGTTTGTCTATTTCTTTCTCACAGAGGGAAATGCAATCAGCATCTTATTCTACGTGAGTCAGAGTAGTAGATTAGCATAATATCCATTTCTGCAATGTTGCATATGCTGTTTTTGTCTAAAATTTTATATCCTTTCCCCAGCTTGCTGAGCCCTGGATTATTCTTTATAGGCCTCACCTGTTTTATGACTCCTGCTCATACAGGAGATGACTACTCTCCATGCTACCATTATACTTCATGCATACCTGTCTATTAACACACGTCAGTTTTGTGATCATCCGTTTATACATCTGCGTTCCCACCACACTGTGGGCCTCTCCACAGCAAGGACTGTCTAGTTTTTTCTATTTCCAACACTGAACCCTGCTCTGATAAATAAATACGTGCCAAATGAATATCAGAATGGTTCCTTCTTTCCTTGACATCATTTTGTTTCGACCCAGGTATTCCCAGTTTGCGAACTCCACGATAGCCCAGTATGAGAATGCAAAGTGCCTTCCGTAAAGGTGACCTGGATGTGACCGAAACCAAACAGAAAACAGCCACATTCAGAGGTAGCCTGCCATGGCCAGAATTATCTTTTGGTCCTGACCAGGGACAAAATAAGAAGGAACAGATGAGCGAGTGAGAGCAGGACAGATTTTCTTTGTTCTTATTGTAAGAAAATGTGAGTACCTTTAGACCTTCCTGCTGGGACCCAGGTGTGTGCAGAGATGCACTTCACGTGGTTGCCGCTGAGGGTATTCAGGGTCAGCTGCTGTGAGAGCTTCCCGAAGGGCTTCCAATCCAAGACCCATCACCAGCAGCGCCTCCCAACACACTGTCCCTATTAGCACGTTCCATTTTGCCCAATTGTCCAGGCTTGCCTTGGACTGGTGGTTTATAACTCTGTGAAACCTCAGAGTGAGCAAAAGCCTTCGGGGGAACGTCTGTCGTTTGCAGAACACAACCTAAATTCTACACTTACGTGGGGACAGAAAATTGGGAAGAATTGACAGCATGTATGTCTGTTGATTTACTATATGTGTGTGTGTATGCCCGTTTACCAGCTGTTTTTCCATTCAACTTTTAGGAATACAACCCAAAAGTACTCACCAAAATGAATAACTGATGAGTTTGTCAATCCCTCTCTTCCTGGTAGAAGAGTTTTATCTCAGGGTCCCGCATGATACTAAAATCCCATGTCTCAGGAAAGAGGGTTTCTAAGGAGAGTTTCCCATGATTTCCCACCCAGACACGGAAAGCCCTGGCACTGCCCAAGGTTGCTCCTTCATCCCTGTCCTTCACCTTCCGTGCCCTGGTCCCTCCTGCCGAGCCTCTGCCCCAGGATCCCCTGAAGCAGCATCACCTCTCTCCCCACACGGTCCGCCTGGGGGCCGGGGACCAAGCCGCCGTAGGGACTGTCCTGTTCCTTACAACGTGTGGGGAGAGACACAGCCACCTGGAGTGGCGGAAGGAGATCTTACCGCTTCTGCTGAAAAATACATGCTGAAAAAGTAACCCTCTGAGGAGGGGACCGGATTCGACCAGGCAGTCATCTAGCAACTTTCTGCTCTTGCTGTCACGCACAGCGCCCCATCGGTATCAGCCCGCGTTTCCAACTGAGGGAGGAAGCAGCCCGCGCGCAGCCGGACGACGACCTCCCGTCCACTGCG